GACTCTGCATCCCCGTTTTCTCCGCAGCCCCCGCCGCCGCGAGGTGATTAATGCGAGCCGGGTCAACAAAGCGGGCGGTTGAACCGAAGCAAACAGCGATTCAGATTCGCGTTACCTTTCAGGCCCGTTCGCGTGCTGACCGATTAATTTATGCGCGCGCCCACCGACAGCGATCCCCGCTCGCGCGAAATGGGGGTGGGGATCTGCTCGGCACAACGAGCACGCGCCCCGTTAGCCGAGATCCTTGATACCGGGAACGATCAGTCGACAACGATGATATTTGTTACAGCCGCGTGCTTCCACGTTTTACAGTGTCCAGTATTTAGAGAATTTCATTGCTCGCAACCTTTGAGGAGAAATGTCGGTAAATTGATGTTAAGAGGCTACACTGTACTCCAGTTCCTAGAACCGCGAATTCCTACAACGCGCGAAAAATTTTACGACCACCGTTTTCGTACAACGCGTTTCTTGTATAGCGTGCTATTCCAAAGTAATTTGTGGTTCGTGTTTACACATTTTAATTTTATTATAGGGTAGTGGGATGACCAATTGCTGTGCCATTGGTTTCTTTTCGGACATATTTAACTTACTATTTATCGAGTAAGATATATTAGATTTTGTATTCTTTTATTTTGTTTATTTTTTAATAAAATGTCTTATTCGATAAATACAAAGTTAATATGGCACAGCAATTGTACAACCCCACAGTAACCGACTCCACGACCCTACAAAAAAAAATTAAAAAAATTAAAATGTGTAAACTGAAAAAATTAAAAAAATTAAAATGTATAAACCTTAAAAATTAAAAAAAAATTGAAACGTGTAAACTGCTAATTACAGTAGTACGGAGCGTCAGAATGTAACTTTGGTCTACTCGGACAATGTGATTAACGATCGTAACACTACGAAAGTGTTTTTGTAATTCTGTATAACTAAGTATAACTACATAATAACGCTTGTTATAATTAAGTGCGTTAGGATCATAGTGACACAAGTCACATTTTCGAACACTTCGACTTATGTCTTAACACGTTCGACGTCAACAATCAATCACTAAAATTCCCACAGAGTCAAAGCAGCTTAATCAATTAAACCGAAAGTAGAAAGTTAAAATTGATCGTAGCGAACGACATTAGAACTCTTTCGCATTCGAAGCATCCTAGTCAAATTCAGTTTGTTCGAATATGATAATAATATTACAATGAAAATAAATTTTCAAAATTAATCAAAAATTAGTATCACCCGCATGTGATCGACGCGGCGCTCAACGTGTTACAATGTAATCTATACACGTCAAAATGTTAAAAAGACAAATGAAATAAATTATAAAGTTAACACAGCGAATTTGTTAAGTTACTTCTTTCGCTGAATTTGTATGGAACAAAATGTTTTTGCTCATACAAGATAGCAATATTCTTTGTGTTATAAAAAGAGAATTTTCGTGCGACACGATTTCCCCTAACACATTGACGCATTATCGTGTTATACGGAAATCCGCTGTATACATATATTAATGTAGTACTTAATTTTCGACTTTCTAATTTTTCTGGTCTTATTCTCATAAATGATAACACTGTTTGAGAAAAAAAAATGATATTTGCAAGATTTGGAAATAATTGAACGACTGGAATCCATACCGCATTTGCGTTAAAGTTCAAAAATTTTAGCGATTCCATATCAATTTCGAACATAATTGTACTTCGTTATTTTAGAAACACCGTTAAACTTTTTTGACTGATAAACGAAACCTTATGCGAATGATGACGTGCTTTATCTATTACTGAGAGATGATAGTTTTCTGAAAAATGTTGACACGTACTTTTTTTTATCGACCATCATCCATGTGACAGCTTTCGTTTCGCGGTTGCAGACGTCGAGGAGGTGAATTTGGATTAATAGGACAGATATGAGATGCAACTACAAATCGAGCGAGTCGCTGTATCTATAAACTAATTGGAGGAATGAATGATATTTCTTCGTTCGAGACAGAATTTTCGAGGGAGCTTATTTTAAATATTCGTGGGCTATGAATATTGACGGCTGCAGACGGGTTAAGGGGTCTGGCTGATTTTTATGTTAAATATTCATCGATTGACTCGGAAAGGTTGCTAAGAAGTAGCAAGACCGTATATTTAGATGAAGTAGAATCAGTGAATAATAGACGAACACGCTACATATTTAGTTATACGCTGATAGTAAGTACCAGTTCCAGACCTCCTTAATGAAACATTTATGTACTTTTTTACTTATATTTGAGCACTCTCCATCCGTAAGTCGATGAAAGTGTCGATAAAAATGGAAACTGATATGTATATTACATTCATATTAATTGTTACTTCTAAATATAATAGATGGAAAAGTCTCTGTAACGAGACGAATTATTGTACGTTTTATACGTTCTCGATGACTCCAAGTCACAATAATAAATAAACTGTGAAACATGATGCATTA